GCATTCTGGAAGTACTGTCCAACCAAAACGTGGTCAAATACAAGAGTGTATCATCTGTTCCAAAGTGTTATCATAAAAACATCATAGACCACAAGAGCCAATTTGCTATGGGAGCCTTTCTGGAAAGGCATTTACACTGTCATGAAGTGTTAAACAAACACTTAAACACTAATGAAAGAAATGAAGACTGTTATTTCTCATCCTTTATTACAGTTATTTATGAATGTCTTACATCTTCTTCTTGAGGCTAGCACCTTCTTGAGGAGGGCACTTCTGTCTGACTCATCTTTGTGGTCCCATAATGTTGAATGTTTAAATGAATAAATGTAATAAAAGCTTGTGATATTAACACCAAATTAAACTTGGCATAAAATAAACTGTATCTAAGAGATGATACTGCTATATGAGTAGACAGTTCAGGGGAATATTTAATTTAACAAACAGATCCCCAAGTGGAATCTCCTATGTTATCTCTGATTAATACAGAGCTCCATTTTCTTCTAAATGTTATTTGTATGAGATATTCTAATTTAGGTTCACTTTCAAATTCCTCCCTAAGTTTGCATCTATCCTAAAAAAAAGGATATAACTGGACAGACTAAAACAGCCTATTGTGGTTATTCCATTTACAATGTTTCTTACAAGGACAAGGACTCCCATAAATGGTTAAATAAAAAGAGAAAGCTATAATAATAATTAATATCTTTCTTAGAAATTTACAAATCAAGTGACTTCTAGGGTTATTAAGAAGGCACATACAGAAATCAAATTGACTATATCCATGAAAAAAGGCGATGAAGAAGCTCACTATCATCAGTCACAACAAGGCTAAGAGCTGAATGTGGAAAAGACCACCAACTGCTCATAGGCAAGTTCAAGTTGAAGCTGAAGAAAATTAAAGCAAGCCCACAAGAGCCAAAATATGATCTTGATTATATGACATCTGAATTTAGAGACTATGTAAATAACAGATTTGGCACAGCGAACACCAATGACCAAAGATCAGAGGAGTTGTAGCATGACATTAAGAAGATGAAAAGGTAATTAAAAAGACAGGAAAGGAAGAAAAGACCAAAATGGATGTAGAACAGACTCTGAAAGTTGCTCTTGAGCAGAGAATAGCTAAAGCAAATGAAACAAATGAAGAAATAAAAGAGCTGAACTGAACAAAGGTTGGGTCAAGAAGACAAAGTAAAATATTATACTGAAATGTGCAAAGACCTGAAATTATAAAACTGAAAGAACACATGTGGCATTTCTCAAGCTGAAAATAAATGCAGAAAAAGTGCAAACCTTGACTTGCAATACTAAAGGATTCTATGGGTAAATTACTGAATGATGCAGCAAGCATTAAATGAAGATGGAAGGAAAACACAGAGTCACTCTACCAAAAAGAATCGTTTGACGTTCCACCATAGGCAGCATATGATCAATAACCAATGGTACTGAAGGAAGAAGTCCAAGCTGTATTTAAGGAACTGGTAAAAAAACAAGGCTCCAAAAATTCATGGAATACCTTTGAGAAGTTTGGTAAATGATAAAGAACCAGACCCTTCTTATGCCAAAAAATTTGGAAGATAGCTACCTGGGTAACCAACTAGAAGAGTTCCATATTTGTGCCCATTAAAGATAAGTGATCCAAAAGAATGTAGAAATTATTGAACAATATTATTAATATCACACATAATTAAAATTTTGCTGAAGATAATTCAAAAACAGTTACAGCAGTATACTGACAGGAAACTGCCAGATATTCCAGCTGGATTCAGAAGAGGACATGGAATGAGGAGTTTCATTGCTGATGTCAGATGAATCTTAGCTGAAAGCAAAGAATACCAGAAATATGTTTACCTGTGTTCTATTGACTATGCAAAAGCATTTGACTGCATGGACCATAACAAATTATGGATAATGCAGAAAGAAAGGGAATTCCAGAACACTTGATTGTGCTCATAAAGAACCTGTACACAGACCAAGAGGCTGTTGTTCAAACAGAACAAGGGGATATTGTATGGAAGGGCATGTGTCAGGTTTGTATCCTTTCACCCTGCTTATTCAATCTGTATGCTGAGCAAATAATCCAAGAATCTGGACTACAAGAAGAATGTGGCATCAGAATTGAAGGAAGACTCATTAACAAACTGTGATATACAGATGACACAACCTTGCTTGCTGAAAGCAAATAGGAGCTGAAGCACTTATGAAGATCAAAGACTACAGATTTTAATTTTCTTTATATTACAGTTTAATCCATACTGAAGGCTATAGTCTTTGATCTTCATCAGTAAGTGCTTCAACTCCTCAATGAGATGGATCCACACAGTGGCTGCAATGCTGGGCTCAAGCATGTGGTGCTGGACTGGGCAGTGTCTCATTCTATTATACATGGGGTCACAAAGAGCCAGAGCCAGCTCAACCGCACCTAACAACAACAAGGAGACATTTTGCTTCCTTCCAGTAACCATAGATAAACTTTGTTTCATTTTTATTTGGAAAACAAATAGAATAGCTGTGAGGAAAAAAAAAGGAATAATCTGAAAGCACTGGAGAGCTACCAAGGAAACAAAAATTTTTGTGTCAACGAGTCAGAAGATAATGGAAGCCCAGAGTTATGACCCATATCTGGCATTGCTTTTCCTTTTGAGGAATCTGCCAATTCAACAAAGAATGTGGAAAGCAGGGCAAAATACAATGACTAACAGGCTGAGATACACAAATCCTTGGGGGGGGGAGGTTTGAGATGTGGAGAGATTTGGAGTTCAGGACCCATAAAGCAAAAGCAGCACTGGTAAAACAGGTAAAGTGTTCAACTGGGATTCTGAAGTGCTCTACTCAAAGAGAAAGGGTAAAGTAGAAATAGACCAGCCTTTAGAAAAAGACTTATGCTCAGACTTCAGTCAGCTGAAATCCTGACTGGATTAAAATAAAATCTGACCTTGGCCTAACTCCCTAAAAGAAATCCTTTATGAAATGGGATAAGGTCTTTCAAACCCTCAAATTTTCTTTATATCGTTTGCAACATAATGTATGGTTCTTAATAAAAAAATAAGGAGCTATGAAAAATCAAATAAGGGCCAAAACCCAAGAGAAAAAAACAGATCAAAGACTCTAACATATGGGAAATCAAGATACTGTCTTAATCAAGACACAGAATTTTAAAATGACTGTGCTTATTTTGCTAAAAAACAATATCCACGTACAGATTTTTGGCAGGTAACAGTAAATAAGAAAAAAAGACTCAAACAGAAATTCTAAAACTGAGTATTACTCAGTGGAATGAATCTGAAATCAGTTAAAAAAAAGGGGGGGGGGGGTAAGAAAATCTCCAACTCTTTGAAAAGAGATTTCATATGAGAAATCACAAAGGAAGTTAGAAAACATTTTGAACTAAATGATAATGAAAATACAAAATGCCAAAACTTGTGGGATATAGGCAAGTCATATGTAGCAAGTAATTTAGAGCTTTAAGTGTAGAAACCAGAAAATAAAAAGAGCTGAAACTGTTCAGCACTATTCACTAAAGTTTATACTTTACCTGTTGACGCAGCTACTGCATTTCTAGTTACACACCCAACAAAATGTGTGCATATGTGTACCAACAGACATGTAGATAAAGGCATAATTTTTAATAACTAGATATTGGACATTAAATTGCACCAAAAGCAGAATAGTAAAACTAATGTACATCAACAGTATAAGGAATTTATGGTATGTACACAAAAGTGGAAATAGCTATACAGCAATAAAAGTAAATGTGGGTGAATCTCAAAATCTTGTTGTGCAAAAGCAGCCAGATATCAAATAATATATATGGTACTTTTTCTATCACCCAAAGTTCAAAGCAGGCCAAAAATTAATTAACAGTGTATATGAGGCTAGTCTTGGGAGCTCTGGTAGCATAATGCCTAAGGCACTTGACTACTAACCAGAAGGCTAGATGTCAAACCCACCAGCCACTCCTCGGATGGCAGATGGGGCAATCTACTTCCATGGTGATACTGCCTCGGAAACCCAAGGAGGGGTCGCTATGAGTTGGGGCCAACTTGAGGGGTCGCTATGAGTTAGGGCAGACTCGAGGGCACATAACAACAACAACATGAGGCTAATGTTAGCTTTAGAGAGAATGATGAGGGTAATAATGACTATGAAAAGATACAATAGGGACTAAACACCACCCACTGCTGTCAAGTAGTATCCGACCCATGGTGACCCCTCCTTGGGTTTTCAAAGCAGTATCACTACAGAAGTAGATTGCCCAACTGGGGTCATAAGAAGCCCTGGTGGCACCGTGGTTAAAGTGATTGGCTGCTAACTAAAAGGTAGGCAGTTCAAACCTACCAGCCACTCAGCAGGAGAAAGATGTAGCAGTCTGGACTTCTATAAAACTTTACAGCCTTGAAAATCCTGTGGAGCAGTTGTACTCTGCACTATAGGGTCACTATGAGTCAGAATCAACTTGATGACAATGGGTACCTGGGCCATAATCTATTGTAAAATCTTAGTGCTGTTTACATGAGTTTATTCACTTTCAGACTCCAAAAATCAAGGATAAATAAGTTCTAGCCTTAACTGCAGTTTAGTCAAAAAGATTTAGGGTAAGAGTCAGGAAACAATCTCATATGAGGAATAATGAGGAAATAATAAATTTTGAGCTAGAAAAAGAATGGCCTGGCGAGTTGGGGGCATCTTTAAATTTTAGGTAGTCTGATGAAAGAGCAACTACATTCATCTCTGAAACTGGAGTACATAAGTCAGAACAATGAGGGGAAGTTCAGTTGTCAAGACCTAGATTTTGATTCAATGTATTAACTGCGCACGATAAAAGCTGCCCAGCAATGGAACATGTCTCAATAACAAATGCAATCCCAATCACTAAATTTGTTCAAACAGAGGTAGAAAGACCACTCATCAGTGATAAGTAGATGACCACTAAAGCTGCTTTCACATTCTTCAGACCCTACACATATGTTAAATGCAGAACCATAATAAAATAATCTTACCCTTAACCGTGTAGTGGAGATCTCAGCTTTTAAAATATCTGGATCATATTTAGTACTGGATGAAGATCCTGAGAACACTTTTAAAGAGAAAAAAATCCACAAGTAACTATCTATAGTTGCATAAACAGTTCTTGACTTAGAATTTATCAATTCTAAAACCAAGATTTATAAGCTTTGTGGTTATTCATTTTCATTTTATAATTCCTTTGTTGTCACTCATCAGACCCTTATAGCTCTCTATAATTTGTTTAGAAAGTCAGACGAAAGAGGAATGTCATAAGGACTCTTGCACTTAATTTCCTTCTAGACTTTATACCTAGGTCCTTAGAGGACCATATTAGGGATATATATAATAAAAAATTATCCAAAAACTTATATTTTCAGTAGAACTTCTCAGTCCTTTATAACTTCTTCTTAAAACATGGCCAGCTCCAAATGATCTATTTATGGCATGAAAGAGAGATAAATCAGCTCAAGTAGTAAACAAAAACTTCACACTGGCTAATAGTTCCATTTCCTCCCACTAAAAATATTGTGTAAGAGTGGCAAAAAGAGAAAAATTATATGTCTTGTCCAAAAAAGGTAAAAGTTATCGATAAATGAATAAAAGGCAATTAGGCAGAGGAAGGATCAGAAATAAATGGTACACATATCCCCAAAAGGGCAGCCTGTATCTGGAAGAGGTACCATCTCTTATGGTACTGAGGAACTCTTCCAGCCTAGGAAGGAAAAGAACTCAAAGCTAAATTCCACAGAAAAGCAAGTGGACTTCTATTGTCTACAAATAGGGACTTATTTTAGAAGTCTGAATAACCACACTGCATCCACTGTACTTACAGCTTGTGCGAGAACTTGACTTTTCCTTATAAGCATCGTTTAATCGTACATATTCATCCAGGGCCAAAGCCAGCCTTTGCTCCTTCACATGATACAGCTCCTTCTGTGTCCTGAGTGCATCTTGAGCCACTGAGAGATAATCTTTGAGCATTTTCTCCTGTTCTCCTCTCCATTGTTTTCTTGGATCTTCTATCTGTGTGGTTTCTAAAAATACATTAAAAAAAAAAAAAAAACCTTATATATTTTCAGCTAAATTAAATCCTTGTATACTCTAAGGATTTTGTGAGTATTTCCAGAGTAATTTCTCTAAAAATTTGATGGAGTTTTGTTTTAGTCTATCCAGTTGTCCCTTTCACTCTTTCTCACTCTCAATCCGTCACATAGGATAATGCTGCCAAAGAAAGCTTCCATAGCTATGATCAAGACGTTCCTTGAGGGCCAATAATCCTCTGGCTCCCCAATGTCTACAGAATAAAAGCTGAATTATATATGCCAGCAACTGAGGCCCTATATGACCCAAACCCAACCTAATTCCCAAGGCACAAGCTTCCATTCATCACTTAATATAGGATTCTTGCCATGTTGTTCTCAATGTCAGTATGACTCAAAGTGTAGTCTGCTGACCAGCACCAGTTCATGAACTCTGATATGTGTGTGTAACAAGATAAGTATAGAAAACAAGAGTATCTATTTTTGAGAGTTTATAGCAATTTGATACCATTATTATATATTTGTTGAATCTAATAGTATTTGGGCTTCTTGTTTTGTTTATTCATCTTTTTAGTAATTAATTTCTATTGTATTTTACAAAATTATCAATCTAGATGGGTTAGAAATTAGAAAATAAACAGAAAAAGCCCAGGTCCTGGTTTTAGAAGAATGGTTTAGTTTAAGGCAGTGGTTCCTGGGTCTGCACTTTTGCACGTTAGAATCACTGCAGGACCTTTTTAAAAATCCCAAAACTTAAGCTGCAACTCAGACCAACTATACTGTCTAGGGGTGAAGTTCAGCCATTGGTAAATTTCAAAATTCCTCAAAGGCCGAGAACCACTGCTCTGGCACAAAGTTCAAATGCTCCAAGAAGCTCCAGAAAACTCCTCCTGCCACCTGACCTGCAAGTCTTCTGTTCATAAAGCAGTTTATAATCATTCTATAAAACTTAAAATACATCACCGTGTGAGCAGTTATGGTAGGAACCATGAAAAAGGAAAAAAGTATATAGATCACTCAAATATTTTATTTTATTAAAAAGAGATAAATGTCTTCATTTACTAGAAGTTGGGTAGAGTTTTTTTAAAAAAATGAATAGGGTGTTTGTGAATCTGCAAAGGTTGGTGCATATTGGTTAAGAGACATTCTCTTCTCTCTATGGTCATGTATTAAACTCCTCTACTGCAAAAGTGGTTATCTTCCAGGAGAGTAAAATGTTACCCTGGGAAAGGACATAAAATGGAAGCTTCCTATGAGCTGACAAGTTCTATTTCTTTCACCTCTGGCAATTAGAGGGATATGCACATTTTATAAATAATATATGTATACTTCTCTATAACGTATTTAAACTACAAATATTTAAAGGTAAAAATAACTCACTTGAAAGGAACAGAAGTTATGTTATGACTTGAGAACTTGTCTCCAGAATACTACTACAAATGTGTATGCCCCGTAACAACAGACAATATATTAAAAAATTGGATAACTTGGGAAAAAATATGAGTATTTCTTGAAGTTAGGCAATACAAAAAATAAAGTTTGCTTTAAAAAAAGAAGAAGAAGATTTCCTAAAATGGGAGAAGGGGGTGGGAGGACTTGAAAAGGGCCAAGATAGAGTAGTTGGGCCTCTGTAAACACCTAGAAAACGGAATAAAATATGAAACAGTAATTTTCAAACCCTAGACAACAGGTAGTATAGGACTGTGATCACTGAAAGAAGGAAAATGAGCCCTAAGATGATTCCAGATTTCTGCCCGAAACACTTTCTGAATAGCAGCACAAGGAAGGGACCTCAAACAGAGGTCTTGCTGAGTTGGGAGGAAAAATAGGTATCAGGAAGGCATGGCAGCTGGAATTTGTAGGGCACAATATAAAAGAAGAAGACTTAAGGAGAGATAGTCTAGAAATTAGCACAGGGGTTGTGTTAAGTCTGTGAGTGAATGTTAAGGATGTACATGTATAGGGGGAAATGAACAAGACAAGGCAAAGGACAAGTGGGATTGCTATAAGCAGATATATCCCATGCTTTATACAGGGTAGAAGACGTTCTAATTTTGTACAGCTAGAGTACACACAAAACACCAACGGCATCCAGTGCAGACTGCAACAGAATCACACCTCAATAAAGGGGCTAAACAAGACAGAGTAAAAGTGACTTAGAACCTGCCTTTAAAAAACTTTAAAACAAATTTCTAACAGACAAAGCTAATTGTTGTTGTTGTTGTTATGTGCCATCGAGTCGGCCCCGACTCATAGCGACCCCTCCTTGGGTTTCTGAGGCAGTATCACTACGGAAGTAGATTGCCCAATCCTCCTTCCCAGGAGTGGCTGGTGAGTTTGAACCGCTAGCTTTCTGGTTAGCAGTCAAGTGCCTTAGGCACTATGCCACCAGAGCTCCTAGCAAGTAATTTAATTGCTAGCCAGAATAAACCACAACATTCTTTTAAAAGCTCAACAAAATCTAGTATCAAACAATAATGAAACACATATAACACTCAACATAACTGCTCAATGTTATGCCAAAAAGCATAAAAGTATGATTCATAATCAGGAGAAAAATTAGTTAATAAAAACAGACCTAGGAATGCAGAGATGATAACATTCACTGGATAGGATTACCCAAAGAATAAGCATTTCAAAATATTACGGAACCTGACAATGAAGCAAGACAAGCTATTCAAGCAGAAACAAAGAGAAAAGAAAATATTGAAAAAACTAATAGTAATAAGTTACTTACAGGACAATATGAAGCACTAAAACAGATGTATAGGTAGCTATAGTGGTCGATTGGGCTGCTAAACAAAAGGTCAGCAGTTCAAACCCACCAGCTGTAACACAGAAGAAAGATGAGGCAGTCTGTTCCCAAAAGATTTACAGCTTTGGAAATGCTCCAGGGCAATTCTACTCTTATAGCTATGACTAAGAATTGACTCGATCACAGTAGGTATGTTTTTGTTTGTTTGGTAACAGAAGAGTAATGGTAATCTCAAAAAGGGATAGATACAGGAAGACGGTTAATATATCTGGGAAAATAACAGGCAAAAATTATCCAAATTTTATGAAAGTTATGCACCCAGAGGTCCAAGAAGTTCAAAAAACCCAATGAAGAAGAAAAACCAGGAAAAGCATGCCAAAGCACTTCATAATCAAAATGCTGAGTAACAAGGATAAAGAGAGAATATTTAAATAGCTAAAATAATAATAAAATTTATATAAATTTACATTGTATACAGAAAATTGAAGACAGGAATGACTAAAGACTTCATGTCAGAAACTGTACACATGTCAGAAAGAAGTGGTATGAGGTATTCAGGGTGCTAGAATAGATTCTGTCATCCTGCAATTCTATAGCCAGCAAAACTATCCTTCAAAAATGAAGGCAAAGTCACAATTTTTTAATATCCACATAAACTAAAAGAAAATGTTACCAGTAGACTTACACTAAAAGAAATATTAAAGCAAGCTTTTTTTTTTAGGTAGAAGTAAGAACAATGACAGATGGAAATTAGATCTACACAAAGAAATTAAAAACACCACATAAAATCTACCTTAAATATAAAGAAACAGATAAGTGAAAAGTAAAAGGAAGGGAAAATCAACACATACATGAAAAGATGATTGTGATCATTAGTCACTGCCACTGTTAGGTACAGTCAAGTCAGCTCCAACTCATAGCGAACCTATGTACAACAGAATGAAACATTGCCTGGTCCTGTTTCAGTCCCACCATCCTTACTATACTTGAGCTCACCCCATTGTAGCCACTGTGTCAACCCATCTCGTTGAGCATCTACCCTTTTTCGTTGACCCTCCAATTTATCAAGCATGTTATCCTTCTCCAGGGAATGGTCCCTTCTGACAATATGACCAAAGTAGGTGAGATGAAGTCTGGCCATTCTCACTTCCAACAAGCATTCTAGCTGTACTTCCTCCAGGACAGATTTGTTAGTTATGTGGCAGTGCATGATACTTGCAGTGTTCCTCACCAATGCCACAATTCAAAAGCACCAACTCTTCTTCAGTCTTCCTTATTCACTGTCAAGCTTTCACATGCATATGAGGCAACTGAAAATACCATGGCTTAGGTTAGGAACACTTGGGTTAGGACATCTTTGCTCTTCAGTACTTTAAAGGGGTCTTTGGCAGCAGATTTGCCCAGTGTAAAACCACATCTGATTTCTTGACTGCTGTCCCATTGGTGTTGATTGTGGAACTAAGTAATAAGAAATCTCTGGCAACTTCAATCTTTTCTCCATTTATTGTGATGCTGCTTATTGGTCCAGTTGTGAGTATTTTCATCTTCTTTACGTTGAGGTGTAACGCATACTGCAGACTGTAGTCTTCAATTTTCATCAGTAAGTGCTTCAAGCCATCTTCACTTTCAGCAAGCAAAGTTGTGTCATCTGCATATTATAGGTTGTTAACAAGTCTTCCTCCAATCCTGATGCCATGTTCTTCTTCATATAGTCCAGCTTCTCAGATTATTTGTTCAGCATATAGCTCAAATAAGTATGGAAAAAGGATATAGCCCAGACATACTCCCTTCCTGATTTTAAACCATGCAGTATCCTCATGATCTGATTAAACTACAGCCTGGTCTATGTATAGGTTCCTCATGAGCACAATAAGGTAAGGGTGCTGGAATTCTCATTCTTCCCAATGTTATCCATAATTTGTCATGATCCACACAGTCAAATGCTTTTGCATAGTCAATAAAACACAAGTAAACATCTTTCTGGTGTTCTCTGTTTCACCCAAGATCCATGTGACATCAGCAATGATATCCTTCATTCCATGTCCTCTTCTGAATCCAGCTTGCACTTCTGGAAGTTCTCTGTCAATACACTGCTGCTACCATTTATGAATTATCTTTAGCAAGATTTTACTTGTGTGTGATATTAATCATATTGCTCGATAATTCAATATTCTGTGGGATCACCTTTCTTTGAAATGGGTACAAATATGGATCTCTTACATTCAGTTGGCCAGGTAGC